CTGACTTGGCCAGACAGGTTCCATTTCTGACCTTCCTATGTAGGGTGGGCATGGGGGTTAGCAACAGTCCTTCGCATCTCAGAGTCAGGCCATGAAGACAGGGCTGGCTTTCAAATATCAAAATATTATTATCCTGTCATTGGTACCAAATAGTTCATTATCCTTTCTTTACTATTTTTTATGGAAAGAACACAGAAGAAATGCACCGTATTTTTAATAGCTACATTTTACTAAGACTAGTACAGTGAAAAATGATTGCTTCCATCAGAAATATTGGTGACCAACCAAATTCATATAAAAGGTATTAGTCTTCAAAGCTAGAATCATTTTGTTTTCAGATGTAATTTACTACCTACAAGAGGTAACAATGATTTTACAGGGTAGTGACAGAGAAGATCTCGTATTAAAGGTTTCCCTTGGTATACGCTTCAAACTCTTTCCTACAAAAAATCCTGTTAGGTCCTCAGATTACAATTTCAATAGCATTGAATTTTATTGTGATTTCAGCATATATCCAGCAACATACATTGTGACTCTTGGCTATAACAGAAATATTTACAAGGCATAGGGGAAAATCAGGCAACGGGGTTCCTCAGACACAGCAAATAGGTACAACAAGCTGGGATAAAGTAGTTTATTTTGCCAAGGGACTAATTTACAGGACAAAATATATAATGACATTTTTAATGACATCTTTGTAGCACTATCCAAGATAACTTAAGTACTTAAATAAATCTCTTGAAACTGCAAAAATTTGTGTTAACATTTTTAACAGGATTAGTACTTCATAAAGGAACTACTTCTAAATGTCTAAATGCCATCTCTGAATGTGTGCTCACAAAACCTAATAAAACCTGGATATGTACCCCCAAAAATTGAAAGTGGGGACTCAAGCACACACTTGTACACCAATTTTCACAGCAGTGTAATTCACAACAGTTCAAACATGGAAGCAGCCCAAGTGTCCATCAATGAATGAGTGGATAAAAAAGGTGTCGTAGGGCTGGGGGTACAGCTCAGTGGCAAAAGCACTTGCCTGGCAAGCACAAGGTCCTGAGTTCAATTCCCAGCACCAAAAAAAAAAAAAAAAGATGTGGTATACACATACAATTGAATAGTAACATCACTCAGACTTGGAAATTTTGATACATGCTAAAATTTAAATGCATTTTGAAAACATTATGATAGGGGAAATAAACCAAATACAAAAGGATAAATGTTTTATTTGCACTTTCTAATGTACGATTTCACTTACAAAAAGACCTAGAATAGACACATTCATAGAAACATAAAGAACAGAGGTTAACAGGGTGGAGGAGAAAAGGAATGGAGAGCACTGTTTAATCTGGAAATGAGTGGTGGTAACAGTGCACCAAACATAAGTATACTACTAATGGCACTGGACTATGCACTTACAAATGATTTAGTAAACTGAAAACTTTAAGTACACTTTTGTCACAATAAGAAATTTTATAAAATTTAAAAGGATTTAAAATACTGAAAAATGTCTGATATAACGTTTGTAATCTAACTCATTTAGCTGGGCATGGTGGTGCAGGCCTGTAATCCTACCTCTCAGGAGGCTGAAGCAGGACTGCTGGGAGTTCAAGGTCAGCCTGGACTACAAAGTGAGCTCAGGGCCAGCCTGAACTGCATAGTGAAAACTCTGCCTCAAACACACACACACACACCCAAACTAAACCAAACAAAAAACAAAAACAATAAAGCCTCACACTAAAAGCAGTCTAGAAAGCATTCACATAATTCCAAAATCTAGACTGGAAAATTTCTGATGACTTCAAAAACAGATGCTACAGGTTGAAGGTTAGTTACTTTCTTGGAGCTCACCTATCCTAGTGATAAAACTAGTTGTGTGGATAAGTGAAAAAGAACAAAATAATTTATGTTATGGTGCTCCTATTACTTCTACCAAGTTAAACCCTTAAAGTTAAAAAGGACTGTCTCCTCAACCTCTGGAACATGGGGTATCCCCCCCCCCCGCCTCACCCCCGTGTGTGTGTGTGTGTGTGTGTGTGTGTGTGTGTGTGTGTAAGACAGGATCTTACTATGTAGTTCAAGCTAGCCTTGAATTTAAGTGATCCTCCTGCTTCAGCCTCCAAGCGCTGAGATTATAGGTGTGTACCACCATGCCTGGCAAGGGGAATTTCTAAGAGACTGAATTTCAATAATAAATATTCGATGTTCTTGGGGATATCTCCACCTACACATATTATGGTCACCACAAATTCAACACACCTAAAAATCAAACTACTATATCTATTGTCTGTGAAAAGTTCCAGTGAGCTAAACTGTTTCTGGTAACTTTTCTATCTTATGATACATGATCCTATTTTAGAGTACTCTGCCTGGTGCTGGTACTCCGTGATAAAAGACTCAGCCCTGATATCCACCAAGAATTACCCAAAGGAGAGACAGGAGATGGCAACAAAATACCAGGTTAAACTCTGATACAGATTCACTGTGGGAGTTTAGCTTGGTAAGAAGTAGAAACAGAAGAGGTGATGATGTATACAAACTATTTTGAAAGAACAATCAATGGAATCTAGTGAAACACTGGACAAAGAATGAAGGAGGGGTAGAACTCAAAACATCTATGGGTAATAATAAACACTAATCTGACCTGCTGACAGCAGAGGACATCTGACTGTGTACCCAAATCCCAATTCAGGGACCCAATGTGTGTACCAAGAGGCAGTAGAAAGCCACAAGTGGAGGCAGAACTCTCTGGACACAGTCCCCCTGCATCTAGCCCAATGTTTACTTAATCAACAAACCCAAACAGCACCAGCAATTAGTGACATCCAGATACTCTACCTTTGTAATGCAGAACTGGGATATTCTACTACCTTCTGACATTTTCTCTTCTAACTTCATCTTCCAGAGCCTTGACACTAACAGGACTAGCTCTTACAGAAAAATGTTTCTACTCTGCACTTTACCTTTGCTTTCATTTTTTTTTTCCTGAACAGCTGATACAATGGAAATTAGGAGATAACTACACAAGAGCTGAGAAATCTTTCTGAGATACAAAGAAGAATTAAGCATTAAGTACATATAAAGGGCAAACAGAGAGGATGAGATTCAAGAGAGGTGACCAAGATAATATGGACTGAAGGAGTGTTAGAAGTAGAATACAGACATAGCTTGTATAGCCCCAAAGGTCCACGCTTCCATTATGCAATAACTCTTAACATTAAGTGGAACAGCAGGAAGCCTGAGAGTGTACCGTTTGACTTGAGAAGTTACAGGTGATTTTTAAGAGCAGTTTCAACAGAATTGTGGGTAAAGAGAAAATGGAAGGAGGGCATTTATATTGTTTCTTGAGGAAGCCTAGCAGTGGAGAATAGGAATGAAACTGAATAGCAATGTGAAAGGCCAAGAGATATTTTGTTTGATTGATTGAGACCTACGCCACTCTGAAGACAAAAGTCTGATAACCAGAGAATGACTGGGCAAGATTCTAGAGAAAATAAGAGTTAGGTTTGCAGAGAAAAAAAATAATTCTTTACTGAAACCAGAAAGTTTACATAAATAATAAAAATGAAAAATAGCAATAAAGGGTTGAAGAAGAGATGTGATGTTATGCAAGTAGGCATGCCAGAAAGCCATACTTACCCATAAAATAAGATACAGGATTATTCAGTGTGAAAGCAAGAAGGTATAACAGGTTCAAAGGAAAGGAAAGGTTCAGAAGTACAACAAGCTGAAATTTTCTTAAATTTAAGGATTGCTTTCTTAAATTTAAGGATTAGTTTCATAGAATGATCACTTACTTTTAGGTATACTTACTTCCTTTCAAGAATAATGAGTACCCATATGCTGTGGATATCAGCCAAGTAAAAAGCCAAACAAAGACCTTAATAGTGGGCAAGGTGAACTGTGGAAGGTTTCCCACAAGACTGGCAGGGGAAATGGCATTTTAAGCAAGACAAATGGCACAGATAATGTAAGAAGTTGGAAATACACCAAATTAGCTTGGCTGGAGGAGGAACAATATCTAAGAAAATAGCAGTGAACAAGGAAACATGAGGCCAACAAAGAAGTGCCATGAAAAGTGGTATACAAGAGTTAAGATCACAGACCTTTGCAGCAAACCTCTGGGTTTAATTCCTAACTGTCCTGGGTACACTTTGTAACCTTGGGCAACTTAACTTCACTGGTCTTCCATGTCTGCATGTGTAAAATGAGAGTAGTAATATATATCTCAAAGGATACGGCCTAAACAAGTGTTATCTGGTAGATGGAATATTAACAGAAATGTTATAATGTTCAGAGGAATCACTTTAAATTATTCAAAGGGATAATAAAATGAATGACAAAAATATTTTAATAATTCTATGGGTGTAACAGTTAATATTTACTAAAGATTTGGCTTATTCTGAATCCTCATGAACATTTTATGAAATTTTACTTTTATTAGCCCTAATTTACATATAAGGAACTGAGGAAAAGGGAGGTGAAATATCTTACAAAGTAAGTGATTCTGGATTCAAATTTAGGTAATTTGGTCCAAGAGCTCTAAAGTGCCTTACCTTGCCATCTGGGGTTTCTCACGGGAAGACTTCCCTCTGTTACTAGTAAAAATAATCAGGTACTGAAAATAACTTGCCATTTTCCAACAGACAAATCAAATCAAAGTCAGGCTCGGAGCCTCATTTTTCTTTCACAGTCCCAAGTTACAGTACACAGAATAACTAGAAATGAGGTAAGGCTGCTTGTAGTAGAGTGGTAGGGGAAACTGTTACCCCTCTGAAGTTAAACTCTTCTGTATTTTCCACTGACACAGAGACTCTCATATGGCTACTGAGATCTCTCCCCTCATCCTGCTTCACTTTCACCTATAGGACTCTAATGCTGATATTCCGTTTCAATTTTGATCCCCTTCACGTGCTGGACCAGTTTTATCTACATTAAGTATTACCACAGAGTATACAAAGAAGGCATACCCATACATAGTATTAACAGATGCCAAGACTGACCATGGATGAAGGTCTGTAACAGAAAAACACAGGTAGCTGGGCATGGTGGCACACAACTGTAATCTCAGCACTTGAGAGGGTCAGGCAGAAGGATTGTCATGAATTCCAGGCCAGCTTGGGCCACATAGTGAGACCCTGTCTCAAAAAAAAAAAAACAAAAACCAGAAAAGAAAAACACAGATAATTTATGACTTAAAACTGGATATAACCTGTTAACTGGCTCCAATCAGTAGTAAAGTTAAGGTTTCCAAATAATATATTAAAAAAATCATACCTTTTAAGGCTCTGAAAGTTTTATCATTATCTCTTACTGTATGTGTTAAAGATACACTTTATAATAAATCCAAGACCAAGGATGCTGATACTGACTTCAGAATTTAAGTCGTATCTAATTACAGCATGTTAAAAATGATTAACAGTAAAGCCAACATTCCTCAGCCCAACATAAAAGGCAATTTATAATGCAGCAGTCATATAATAAAATGCCCCCACCTCCAGGAGGAAAGTTTTGTTGTCACTTGCTCTGGTATTATATGTTTACACTAAGCTCATATGTGAATTTCAAATTCCTCTTGGCCCCATCTACTCTCATTTTGAAAGGGGTCCAACTTCTACCCTTGAGGTTCCATAACACAACCCTCTGAAATGCAGTATCTATTTTAACATGCCTTTAATATATGATGGAGTGACCCAGAGGAAACAGATATTGTAAGAACTTTAATGATGTGCATCAGAGTTGGGGGACAGTAGGCAAACAGTCTGCAGACTTTGTTCTTACTAAAAAAAATTCTTAAGTAGTATTCCTAAAGCAGATTCTATGGAATAAAAGTTTCTTAAGCAATTTAATTGATTTACCTGACTAAAAGCAGTGGTGGAATTAAAATCAATTTAATTGATTTTACCTGACTAAAAGATAGGTTTAGTAAATAATGAACTAAACACGATTAACTTGATGCCTGGACTTTGTGTTTTTGTACTTAGTAGAGCTCATAATATATATTCCCACAAAATTTATATTCTTTCTCTCTTATTTTGTTCTCAGAGCATCTACAAATTTTGTATTCTGTAAGATATACTTTGGGAAGAATTTGCTTCAAAATACTTTTTTTCAACATAAGGCCAATTAAAAACCTTGTAATTGACTCTAATTCAGAAATTAAATACAAATAATAACAATAATAGCAAGAAATATCTGTGAAGTATTTATGATGTGCCCTATGAAACTTGAATTTCATTATTTCTCATCACTACCCTGAGGTAGGCAATTTTTATTACCTCTAATTTACACATGAGAGATGAACAGAAAGTTGAAACCCATTCAGTGTTACAAAGTTAGTAAGTGACGAAGTCTGTATTCAAATCCTAGAACTAAAGTACTGTTTGTTAAGCGTCTCCAAGGGTAGGCACTTAGCTATGTGGAGAAGACTCTTCTGTCCTTGGTAATAACAAGGATAACTGCTACCCTTGTTCTTTCAGAGGTATACCCAGAAGATCCATTACTCAGGTGTCTAGCTGGTGTTAACCCACTTTCACTCTCTAAAAAGATTCAAATCAAATATGCAAACTGCTGTCTAGGACTGCAGGAGGGGAAATATTTCAAATATACTATCAGAAACTGAAATAGGAATGAGAAGCTCTGGAGTGATTTTACTTTTGAACTTTCTAATCTTGACAAAAGGTGAGGTACTTACAAAATGAACTGTCAAAACTGAAAAGTCACACTTGGAAAAACTGTTTTTGGTTGGTAGCTATAAAGGCTTTTGGATTCTATTGGATTTCTGACAATCCTGAGAATGATTCAGAGAAAATTTGACTTTGCAGTAGTCAAATTCTTGGTTACAGTTTAAATTATAGTATTTGTTTGGGTTTGGTTTTTTGGGAGGAACACTTTCGCTATGTAGTTCAGGTTAGCTTTGAACTCACAGGGATCCTCCTGCCTCAGCCCCTCAAATGCTGGGACTACAGGTGTGTGCCACCATGCCCAGACAGATTGTGTTATTTTGAAAGTTGAGGTTATATAAATTTTCCAAATTTCCTTTTCCACAGCGGTGCTACAATACCCAAACAAATGTTATCTGGCCTCCCATATATAATAAATATTAAAATTTTAAAAGGGGAACTAATTATTTTAAAAGTATTTAAATAACCAAACAAAACCCTACCTTGAAAGTCCTATGAGACCAAGAAATAACACTGCTGCTATAACAACAGTATGTGATAATAAGCCAATACTTTTTTGGGCTCTTGCTGTGTGTCAGATAATGTTCAAGCCATTTAAATTTTATCTTAGCTTATTTTTTCTTAGTTATACCCCTATGAGTAAGATACTTTTACTATCAGCTTGAGAGGTAAGGGTACTGAGGCAGAGAGAGATTAACAAATTTGCTTAAGGACATACAGCTTGAGGAAGAACTAGTATTCTGGCCTAGAGGTCATGCTTTAAAACCATTTCACAATACTCCCTTCTCAAACCTTACTTACTCTCTCAATCTCAGCCTAGATCATTAAGTTGTAGCATGGATCAAAATGCACCTTCTGGGACTGAGGGTGTAGCTCTGGGACGGAGCACTTGTCTAGCATGTGCGAATTCCTGGGTTCAATAGCCAGTGGAAGGAAGGAAGGAAGGAAGGAAGGAAGGAAAGGAGGAAGGAAAAGATAAAGATAAGATAAAGAATGAAGGGAGGGATGGAGAGGACAAAGACAAGCCACAGTCTGGGAGAAAACACCGGCTACAAAATCAGATAAAGGACTGATAACTAGAACAAGTAATCCCAGCACTTGGGAGGCTGAGGCAGGAGGATCTTTGCGAGTTCGAGACCAGCCTGGGCTACACAATGAGCTCAAGGCCGGCCTGAACTGCACAGCGAGACCTTGTCTCAAAAAGACAAAACAAAACAAAACAAAAACAAAAACAAAAACAAACAAAAAACCAGTCTCCCATCAAAATATGAAAACAACTCAATTTAAAAAGTGAGCAAAAGATGTGTAGAGACCTGCCACTAGAGAAGAGAAACATAGCAAATAAGTATACGAAGAGATGCTCAATCATCATTAGTCACTAAGGAAACCAAACACAGATATTACTACATACTTACCAGAACAGTTCAAGTTAAGGAAATTTTTTTTAAAAAAGTGACCATAACAAGTGCTGGTGAGGAATGCAGAATGGCACAGTCACTTTAGGAAGAAATCAACAATTTAACATAGTGCTAACTACTTTCCTTATGACTCAAGAAAAATGAAAATACATATCCTCACAAACTACTGAACTTGAAGGTTTATAGCTGCTTTATTCAGAACTGTCAACAACTGGAAACAACTCAAATGTCCATCAACCAGTGAGTAAACAAAGCATGGTACCTTTATACAATGATGTACTCAGCAATAAAAAGGAATTACTGATAGATGCAATGTGGATGAATCTCAGATGCACTGTGCTAGGTAAAAGAAGGCAGTTACAAATGTGATCCCATTTATGTGACATTCTGGAAAAAAAAGGAAGTGGATGCCTAAAAGTGAGACAGTGCTAAAATCTGTACAGTATACTGTTTTTTCCCACACATACGTATCTATGACAAAGGATAATTTTAAAGTTAGGAATAGTTAAGATACTAACAACAATATAGCATAATGAAATAGAACTGGTGCATGGCTATAAATGCCTCCAGCTTCTCTGCAGGTTGAGGCATGAAGACTGAGTGAGATCCTGTATCAAAAAAAAAAAATTTTTTTTTCTTTAAGGGTTAGAGTTATAGCTCAGTAGAAGAGTACCTGCCTGGTATGCATGAGGCTCTGGTATGCATGATGCCCAGTTCTAAGAGGAAAATAAAACACAACAAAAAAAACCATAACAATAAACTGTAATACAAGTTATAGCCCGGCATGGTAGTGCATGCCTGTAATCCTGGCACGTAGGACCCTGAGCCAGGAGGATCACCATGAGTTCCACACCAGCCCAAGCTACATAGTGAGTTCAATGCCAACCTGGACGACACAGTGAGATCCTATCTCAAACACACAAACAACAAAATAATACAAGTTATATAGTTATACGGACATAGTTTCTCTCAAAATATACTGCACCTACCCTTTGACCATAGAAAATTGAAACTTCAGAAAACAAAAACTCCAATAAGGGACACTACTGTAAATGCCTATGAAATCAGTGAGTAGAAAAGGAAACAGAAAGAAAACTTTTAGCCAAATACTACACTGTTCTAAACTCACATGAAAAATTCATTTCTGAGTTTAAAACCACTTACTCATGCTCATGATTTACTAAATGCTCTCTAAGCATGTAGCACTTACTTAGCAATAGCTGTTTAGTTATTTTTCATTCCAGAAACCCATGGAAGCTTTATTTTAGGGTAAAATAGATGGTCAAGAATTCTGTGAAGGAAGTCTAGGGCCTAATCTTTGATCCCTTCTGCTGCCATTCTCACAACAAAATGAAGTTTAGCATTTCATAGCCAAAAACATCTTAAGAGAAAATGCTTCTCTGGTTTCAATTCCTCAGCTGAAAAGCATGTCTCCTTCCTTCTTTTCACTCCTCAAAGGTCTGTTTTGTAAAGCTGAAAATATCTTGAAAAACAGTATCTTTATGCCTTACCTAAAGCACTAAATGCAAAGAGGAAAATCTGTGTGGTCTCTCTCAACGTTAGTATTATAAAAGTCTGGAACTATGTATACAAGCCCTTTCTATTTTAGGAGCACAAGACACAGCCAGCCTGGGAAAATGAAAGAGGGGTGAACCATTCCTACTGTCTTAACAGCCACTTTAAGCAACCATTTGTTCAGTAAATACCATAGGCCCCTTGGGAATCCTCAGATTTGGTCGATAACTTGAATTCTGGCAACCTGCCTTGCAACAGAAAACTGTTTTATTTGAAACTAGCATTAACAAGAGAAAACTATGTAAACTTATCACATTCCACTTTGTACTTTTTATGGAATTCAAACTAATTCACATTTAAAAAATAAAGATAACACAACAGATCCAAGCAGATAAATGTGGCATCATCCCTATAATTCAGCTAACTTGTTTGAAATTACAGATACAATCTGTTCAGCAGATTATAC